TTATTGTTGAAAGTATTGCAGATGTCTCCCTTTTTCCCCCATTGGCCCCCTCCATCCCGAACCTGCACCCCCAGCTCCAAGGCCTTCACTACAATACTTACTGTCTGTGTCCATGGGTTATGGATATATGCATGTAAGTTTTTGGTTAATCTCTCCCCACCCACCCACTAACTCCTGCCTTCCCTCTGAGATTCATCAGTCTGTTCCATGCTTCTATGTCTCTGGGTCTATTTTGTCCACATAAAAGTGAGATCATGTGATACTTGTCTTTCTCTGACTGGCTTATTTCATTTAGCACAATACTCTCCAGGTCCCTCCATGCTGTCTCAAAGAGTAAGAGATCATTCCTTTTTACAGCTTCATAGTATTCCGTGATGTAGATTTACCACAGCTTTTTTATCCACATCTACTGATGATCACTTGGGCTGTTTTCAGATCTTAGCTATTGTAAAATTGTGCTGCTATGAACATAGGGGTGCATGCATTCTTTCTGATTGTTGTTTCAGGTTTCTTAGGATAAATTCCTACAAGTGGGATCACTGGGTCCAATGGCAGTTCTATTTTGAAATTTTTGAGGAAACTCCACACTGTTTTCCATAGGGGCTGCATCAGTCTGCATTCCCCTAGCAGTGTACTAGGGTTTCCTTTTCTCCACATCCTCGCCAGCACTTGTCATTTGTTGATCTGTTAATGGTAGCCATTCTGACAGGTTTGAGGTGATACCTCATTGTCATTTTAATTTGCATCTCTCTGATGATCAGTGACTTTGAACATTTTTTCATATGTCTCTTGGCCTTCTGTATGTCCACTTTGGAGAAGTGTCTATTTAGGCCCTTTGGCCATTTTTTAATTGGATTGTTTGTGTTTTTGTTGTTGTTGTTAGGTTGTATGAATTCTTATATATATTTTGGAAATTAAACCCTTCTAAGATGTATCATTGCCAAATATGTCCCCCTATACAGTGGAATTCCTTTTCATTTTGTTGATAGTTTCTTTTGCTGTGCAGAAGCTTTTTATTTTGATATAGTCCCATTTGTTTATTTCTCCTTTGTTCCTTTGGCCTAGGAGATGTAGCACACATATTGTTGCTATGAGAGATGTCTGAGATTTTGCTGCTATGGTTTCTTTTAGGATTTTTATGGTTTCACAACTTACATTTAAGTCTTTTATCCATTTTGAGTTTATTTTTGTGCATGGTGTAAGTTGATGGTCTAGTTTCATTTTTTTTTTTTTGCAGGTACCTATCCAGTTTTCCCAACACCATTTATTGAAGAGCCTATCTTGACTCCATTGTATATTCTTGCCTCCTTTTTCAAATATTAATTGAGCATAATGGCTTGGGTCGATTTCTGGGTTCTCTATTCTGTTCCATTGATCTATATGCCTCTTCTTGTGCCAGTACCAGGCTGTTTTGACTACAATGTCTTTGGAGTATAGCTTGATATTTCAACAGCTTTTTATTGAGCATCAACCATACTGACGGCACTATTCTCCGCAATATGCAGAATTAAAGTGTATTACCTTCAGTCACTGAAGAGCAGTAGTAGTTGCTTTAGGATCGTTGATAGTTGAATGCTTGACACATAATGAGTAGTCAATAAACATTACCTCTTTTATTTATATTTTTCCTCTTATCCCATGTTCTTCAAGTAAAACTTCCCAACAGACGATGAAACATCCTTAGAAGCAGATGTTTCTATTTTTTATCCTAATTTTTCTCTGTTAAGAAGGGTTTTTCCCCCCCTTTTTGTCACAGTGCTTGGTAATTGTTTTTTCCATTCTTAAAGAATTTTCCTAGGATAATTATTCTTACTGGTCAAAATTTCTAGGGCTCATTAGAATTCAAATCATTTGATAATGTTTTTTCTTTTGTTTGTGTATTTATATTTACATATTTATTTCACAAACCGTGAAATCTATCAATTCATTAGTTTTTAGTATATTCAGATGTTTGTGCAACTGTCACTACTATCTAATTTCAGAATATTTATCACCCCCAAAATAAACCCTGTATTCCTTAGCACTTTCTTTCATTCCCATCTCTCCTCAGCCCTATAAACCACTAACTTACTTTCTATCAGTATGGTCTTACCTATTCTAGACATTTTGTATAAATGGAATCATACACTATGTGGTTGAATCATAAAATATGTGTCCCATGATCACCCCGCAGAGGGAGGCCCAGGCCACCTTGCCAGCAGGGTGATCAATGAGGGCGCTCCACAATCACCTCAGAGGGAGGCCCAGGTCACCAACTGGCGGGCTGTGGCGCGTGGGCGGGGCCTCCCTCTGTGGGGCGTGATCGATCGCACCTGTTGTTTTTTTGTGACCAGCTTCATTTAGTATAATGTTCATCCATGTTGTAGTATGTATCAGTACTTCATTCTCTTCCCCCTTTTATTTGGCAAAATACAAGTAACATGAAATTTACTATTTTAACAGTTTTTAGGTGTACAATTCAGTGTAATTCAGTACATTTACTGTGCTGTGCAGCTGTCACCACTATTCATTTCCAAAACTTTTTTAATAATCCCAAACAAACTCTGTCTACATTAATAAGAACTCTTCATTCCCCCCTCCTCCTAGCCAATGGTGTCTCCTGTTCTATTTTCTGTCTCTGTATTTGCTTGTTTTAGGTAATTCATATAAGTGGAGTCATACAACATTTGTCGTTTTGTGTTTGGCTCTTCAACACATAGATCACATTTTTTGCCCAGCCTTGTGGAGTTTTTAACCTTTGTATGCCTGGATTTTCCCACAGCAGATTGAAATGGACCCTTATGTTGGTATATAGAACCCTTTCTTCATATACTACTATTCCTTCTACTCTGTCTTGCAAATTTTAGCTCCCTCAGCCTTTTGAGTTCTGATTTCTGTCCTCCCAACTCAGTGAGATAATGTTCTCTTCTTGGGATCACCTTCTCTTTACTGAGATCCAGAAACTGTTTTAATGCAGGAAGCTTGTATTGCTATCTGGAAAATGTCTCTAGGCAGAAATTGAGGCAAAAGTCTAGCTTATTCAATTTGTCTTCCTTCTTAGAGATCATCATTATGCACTACCTGTGATCTTGCATACTAAACAGGTTCCTCAATGTATATTTTACATATGTTTTTCTAGCTTTGTAATTGTTTATAGCAGGAGTATAAGTCTGGTTCCAGTTATTCTGTCATGACTAGAAGTGAAAGTCTTGGTCTTATCATTTTATTTTCAAAACTTTTTTCACTTAGAATTAGACTAAAATGCCTCATCTGTGATTGCTAAGGAAGAGAGTCTGTTAATCTTGTTTGAAAAATTTAAAGGAACTTGTCAGTCTACGATGTTTCAGTTGTGCCATTAATAAAAATTAAACTTCTTTACCATATTCTCCCTATTGCCTATTATAGTTGGGGGGTGGGGCTGATGTACTACTAATTGAGTTTTACATTTCTCTTTTTTTAGACCTAAAGATTGTCTTCGGTCTATTATGAGGAGGGTGAACCATAAAGATCCTCATGTTGCTATGCAAGCTCTGACTGTGAGTGATTTGATTTTAGGTTCTATCACAAAATTACCTGCTGAAATTGAGCCCTTTTAACTTTGGAATTTATGTTTTTAGCTTCTAGGAGCATGTGTATCAAACTGTGGCAAAATTTTTCACTTAGAAGTATGTTCAAGAGATTTTGCTAGTGAAGTAAGCAACGTATTAAACAAGGTAAGGAACATTATTCCCAGAAATGAATAAGACAGTGATTTTTAAAAAAATGTATTTTATTGTTCAGTTCCTCAAATTTTAAATCAGCGATTGCCAACCTTTTGGACCTCACGGACCACCGATTGGCGACCACTGCTCCAAAGGTTTCCTTAAACCAGTGGTTGCCAACCTTTAGGACCTCAGGACCACCAGTGGTCTGCGAACCACCGGTTGTCGACCGCTGTTTTAAATCACAAAGGACTAGTCTGTCCTTTTTTAAAAAAAAACAAAAACAAAACCCACAAAACAAAAAACTCTTTCTAGGCTATTTTTTATCCAATATATAAGTAGATATTATGTTTTGCTAAGGGGACTACACATTTATAATTTCGAGAGTTGTTTTTTTTCCAGCCAAATTAGAGTATATTGAACCTCTTTATCATTCCTTTCATCTGATAAGTAAATATGTGCATTTCTCTGTTTCAATAATACCAGTCAATTTTTAGGCACAGTTTTTTTAACCACAGAATAATTTTGTAGCCACAGAATTATTTTCTCAATGTAGAATTGTTCAGAAATATTCCCAAAATATAGCACTGTTGAGTTTCATGTTTATATGAATAAGGCTACCGCTTGACCATTATAGGATTTTAATACTATATATTTACTTAATGAGGTCAGAATAAAGAATTCAAATCCTGAAATTTAAGGACTTTAAAAAATGTAAGTTTCTAAGTAATATGTGAGTTTTCCCAGTAAAAATCTATATTCTAAAGGTAATTATTTCTGGCTTTTTGGGGTGGGGGTGGGGATGGGGGATGTATTATATCAAGAAAGAAATTTTTTAAGTGTTAAAAGGGAAAATGCCTTTTTAAAAAATATATTTTTGTATTTTATAGAGAGAAAGGGAGAGGGTTAGAGAGAGAGAAACATCGATGAGAGAGAAACATTGATTGGCTGCCTACTGCATGCCCCTCACTGGGGATCGCACCCACAACCTGGGCATATGCCCTGACCATGTACCCTGATTGGAAGCTAACCATGACCTCTTGGTTCATGGGCTAATGCTCAATCACTGAGTCATGCTGGCCAGGCAAAAATGCCTTTTTTGGAAAAATAAGTATTTTTAGGTTTTTGTAGAAAACAGTACAGAAATGAGATAAGAAATGTAAAATTCTGTACTTTTCAAACATGATTACATAAAAATATTTTACCTGTTCTGCTTTATTAAGTTGTATTTAGATATTTTCTACTAATTAATAACCATTCTTTTTTTTTTTTCTCTTTTAATCCTCACCTGTGGATATGTTTTTATTGATTTTTAGAGAGAGAGAGGAGTGGGGGTGGGGAGAGAAAGAGAAAGAAACGTTAGTGTGAGAGAAAAACATCAATTGATTGGTGCATATGAGCCCTGACTGGGGATCAAACCTGCAATCTAGGTATGTGTCCTGACCGGGAATCAAACCCACAGATTTTGATGTATGGGACCGCAGTCTAACTGAGCCTTCTGGCCAGGGCAGTAACCATTCTTATAATGTCCTGATATCCATCAAAATGTATCACTGTTTATAAAGAGACTATAATGCTATCCTAATATATAAAAAGCCAGGGGCCGTCACGACCAAAACAACTGGACGGACGACCAAACAACAGGCTGCGTGTGGTGACCAGGCCGGCAGTGGGGGTTAGTGAGGGACAACCAAACAACTGAACAGCAGGCTGCATGGGGTGACCAAGTCGGCAGGGGTGGGCAGTTAGGGGCGACCAGGCTGGCAGGGGGGCATTTGGGGGCAACTAGGCCGGCAGTCGGGGGCAGTTGGGGGTGACCAGGCCAGCATGAGAGGGCAGTTGGGAGGGTCCAGGCCTGCAGGGGAGGGTAGTTAGGGGTGACCAGGCTGGCAGGAGAGGGCAGTTAG